TTTTATTTATTTATCTGAGAGAGAGAATGGGAGACAGAGAGCATGAGAGGGGGAGGATCAGAGGGAGAAGCAGACTCCCCGCTGAGCAGGGAGTCCGATGCGGGACTCGATCCTGGAACTCCAGGATCATGACCTGAGCCGAAGGCAGTTGCTTAACCAACTGAGCCACCCAGGTGCCCCTGGGTTAACTTTATTTTTAAGAATTCTGTTGAGAAGGAGCATGGCATCATTTGAGGAGTATGTATTTAGGTGATTCCCTGACAGTTTTTGCCAGTGACTTAAGTAGGAAAGTCTCCTTATTCTGCTGTCTTACGGGTCCGCATTAGGGCAAAAACGCCAAGTAAGGGAACCTCCAAAGACTGGTGCTCTTATTTCTCATTAGCAGTGCCATCATTTCATCTGTGCCAAAAAAGCGGATTGGGATCACCCTTTGCTAGAGCCACCAGCCGGCAGCCACGGACCTGGAAACTGACCTGCTGTTAAGTGGGCTGCGTGGACAAGGATTTGGACCCCAGGCTTCAGCTCAAAGTGCACCGAGTTTTGGTTGAGCTTGTGGATCAGCAGTTCTGATATCTGAAAGGAGAAGTGTTACAGTGAGTGCCTCCAAAATTGCCATGCCGACAATAAACAAACGTGCTGAGAAGTATTTACTGTAGTTACCAAGGCGTCCTAATGTTATGCCTGTGAATTCTATAAATGAGTCTTGTATGACTTTGAGTTTTTATTCCAGAATACGCACACATAGTGATTTTTAAAGCATGACCCGAGCTTACATCCTAATTGCTACAAAATAGGACAAACTATTAGTAAATACAAACATTTCTGCTCTTAAAAAATTATCCTGTGTTATCCTAGAAAATTCACCCCCAGTTTTTTGAAAGAGCATTTGTTATACACAAAAACTGAAAAGAAGTAATTATGTACACTTTATACATTCTGGTGAGATTTGTATGCATTAATTTTACTTCTTGAGAGTAGACTCCATCTTATTCCTCTCTGTGCTTCCTTCCTCTTCCCCTAACTGTACGCTGTGGCTTTCACAGAATAGATACTTTATGAATATTTATTGAACAGTAAATATAGTTCCACTAAAATAATAAATTATACAGTTGGAACAAACTGTAAGCACAATCTCAGTGATGCATTGGCTGATCCTTGTTTCCTGCTTATGGACATTAGCTAAAACACTCCCCAGGCTGACACCCATGTACTGGGCAGACCTATGGGATTCTGGGCCATGAAATACAGAACCCCAACAAAGGACAAAGAACCATGTTTGGGTAGTAACAGAATAAAGATAGGTTTGATAGAAAAGGTGAAACTGTTCTGTTCACTTGTTTAAAGTAGAAAATCCAGCTCAATTTTCTTATCCTTCTGAACAATTTCTGAAAAGCTATCAGGGAAAATCACGCTCCTATTATTTTTATCTGGACTCCTTACTTTATTTTTAATAGTCTAATCATCAATTTAATATTTTATTTAATAAGCTATTTAAATCTAGTTAGATGCTTTCTTTTTTTTAAATTAATTTTTTTATTTATTTGAGAGAGAGAGAGACAGCAAGAAGGGGAACACAAGCAGGGGGAGTGGGAGAGGGAGAAGCAGGCTTCCCGTGGAGCACAGAGCCGGATGTGGGGCTCGATCCCAGGACCCTGGGATCATGACCTGAGCCAAAGGCAGGCGCTTAACAACTGAGCCACCCAGAGGCCCCTAGTTAGATGCTTTCTGACAACCATTTTTTATCCTTTTATAAAAATTGGTCCAGTTTCACTTAGTCTACTGAGTTGCCAAAATGACACCTCTGAATGATCTTTTTACCAATTAAGCAGAGCCTGATGGCTTTGTTTTGAAGCAGAGAGTCCCCGGCAGACCCCCCTATGAGTAATGGAACTGAACTGCCCTGCAGATGAACTTGTTTGCTAAACAACAGGAACTTGGGATGACTGTCAGTGACCTGCAGTTGAGCACCTGGGATCCAGTGCAAGCTCAGCATCTCAAATGCTTTCATTTGGCATACCATGCAGAAAAACAAGGTTGTGATACAATTATGTTGAAAACAACCTTCTCCTCTATATTAGGCTCTCTATTACTCTTTTTCCTGGGCACTGGGAATCTTCTGGAATGCTCCGGGTTTATAGGAACAGATTTCTAGCACAGACTGTGCAGAATGTTTTTCCTGTGTGATCTCTAAAGTGTTGGAATTTTTGGTTCCTATTCTATCTTATAATTTACTTGGTAAGGTCTTTATGGGAATCTGACAGGACTTTTAGTAGAGGTCAATCAGCAAGGTTTTTGCTAATGAAACCCAGAAATGTGTGTGTGTGTGTCTGTATACATACACACATCATATATGTGTGAAATATACACATTTACATACATATGCATATATATGTGTACATATCTATGTTTATATTTGCAGAGGAATATTTTAACTCAAATGGGAAAGACTTGTCAGAAGTAATTAATGAATTGCCTTGTTTTGCAGAGTCCATCATGTGGCCAAAAGGGAAATATGTATTCACAAGAGAAAGACTTCTCTCTTTCAACCAGCTGAAGTGATATTTATTTCTTATTCCTGAGGATGTTTTTTCCTCAAGTGAGAGGTATAAATAACTAAACCAGAAGAAAGTGTTCATCAGAACAACATATTTCTAATTTATAATCTCCAGGAGAGTTCCTTGTGAAAACAATTAACTTCCTGGATTTGTTTTGGTTTATAACATTGCTTCACTGGATTTATCTGTATCATTTACAAAATTAAGCAGGCTACGCCAAAATAATCTGGTAGCACAAAGTATGTTTCACGTATTCAACTTGCATCAAAGGACATGTGGTAAAGAACATGTATCTATGGGAAAGAAATTATGCACAGAAACAAAACCAAATGAAATGTACATTGCATACAAGAGTAATCTCAATTAGAACCATGTAACGCTCTGCTCAAATGAGTACGAAATTGTTGACAGATTTCCACAATTTTAAATGTTTTTCAAGCCATTTGCAGAATTGTTTATTCTGTATTTTTCTATCACATCATGACTTGTTATATATTTTATATAAAATATACATAAGTATATACACCATATATATAATATATATGCATTGAACCCTTTATATTGGCAAAGTTGCCTATTTCTCAATATTTTTCTAACATAGCATGTCTTAGGTATTAGTGCTGGTATCTCCATGGAAAGGACCATGGAGCTTACAGAACATACCTAAGTTTACCCAGTTAATATTTGAAGAGCTGACACCAGACTTCAGTTTTGACTCCTAATCCTGGGGCATTTTCATTAAAAACATTTTCCTTGAACCAGCTGACAAAAAGAGAGAGCAAGAGATATATGGGAAGAGGGCTGGCTGAGCAGGTTTAGGAAATTTAAAAAAAAAAAACAAAAACCACTGCAGCATTTCATTAATTATGTTGCCACCTCTTATTCATCTGTGAGGCGCACTTGTAACACCAGGCCCAGGTCAGCTGCTCAGTACGAGCTGCGCCAACAGGCAACTGCCAACCCTCTCCCCTGGACCGCCACATTCTGCTCACCAGTCAATATAATTTGTACTGATCGGGAGAGACTTTGGCTATGAAAGGAGTGGAATAAACTGGAATCTGTAGGGCAGGTGGCTTCAGACTAAATGGGAAGGACAAAACCTTGCATGATAGAGACTAAGTCGAGTAATGTGTGACTGCTGGGACACTGAACTTGTTGGAGCCAGTTCAATATATTTATTTTTCTTTCTCTGTCCAGTGAAAGTGTGTTGTCTTAGCAAACTGCACGTACCCTTTGTGCTGTTATCCCTCTCCTGCTGCTCTCCCACACAGTCCATTTTCTATTCTCTTCCTAAATAATCATGACCAAAGAAACAACATATTATTCTTGGTATCTGCCCATTGGTGGACTCGGCCTGGAATTCCAGTGCAACCCACACTTGCCTTCAAGTACCAGTTAAAAACACAGTGGGGACACAAGAAAAACACTTGGAAAGCTCCCATCAGCACGGCGTAGTGGGGGGACCTGATATAGGGGAAAACACCAATTCTCTTCTGTATCTTCTTCACAAAATATAAAATTTAAGTACAGCAGTCAGAACAGGCTAGGTTAGGCTGGGGTAACAGGGTTAAAGGCTCAGAGGTTTCCAACAGTGAAGATATATTTCTGGCTCCCACTTCATACCCAATGCAGGCGGACAGTGATGCTTTGTTCATTATGGTCACACATGCTGGTAGAACTGCCCCCCTCCAAATGTTTCTGTCCACAGAACCACAGGAGGGGAAAAGGAGCCCTCAAGGGTCTACGACTGGTATTTGAATACTTCTGCTTACAAGGAAACAAATCACTTCTGCTCCCAGCTCATTGGCCAGAATCAGTCACATGGTTCTGCTCTGCCCACAGAAGAAGCACACGGTACCAGCCTACCGTGTATCCAGAAGGAAGTGAGCTGGAAATAGTCAACAGCAGTGACGGTTGCCACACAAAGAATACATTTAATGCTGAAACAATTTTTAATGAAACCAATAGGAGAAAACACACTCTCAGATTATAAGAATGAAAAGTGTCAAATATTGAAACATGAAAGAAAGAGAATTTAAGAACAGAGCAGTTGGTAAATTTATGAAACATATAAGCCAAAGAAGTGGTACAAGGTAAAAACTATAGATGCGCAATGGTCTTTGGCAGATTTATCAATGATAAAGCTGCACTGGGCCAAAATACTAACGTTTATCTCTGAAGTTGGCAGGAGGAATGCAAACCCTACTGAACATAAATAGCATTCTGGTGCCATGTTCAGAGATACTTGCCTGTAATGATCTTGGAGCTGACCCACCAGGTCACTCCTGATCCTGTTAAATTATTAAGGTCTTTTGAAATAGCAGTTGAAGAATCTTCCTTTTGGATTCAACACAGGAAGAGCTTTCCCAATTCATACAACATAATTTTTTGGATAAAATCACGGGAGGGCAACAGAACCAAACACTAATTCTAGTTAACACTAGCTTACCCAATTCCCTTCTTTCTTAGCACAAAAGAATCATCTTGATTAAAGTGCCTGAGAAGTTTCCTGGGTGATATAATGAAGAAACACATTGGCTATACATATCTCCTTCCCGGTATTCCCCATCACCAGCTCTAAATTTGTCTCCCTTGGCCATATTCCTCCCAGTACAACTCTTACCTAATCACCTTTCAATTATAGTTTCCTGCTTTAATGATCTTCCTTGTGAACTCCAGGTACTTGTATAATCCAACTCCCCATGTTAAAAAATCCAGACAGGGTAGATTATGTGGGTAATAGTTTGAGATTATCAATTATAGTTCATAAATGAATCTTTACTTCCTTAAAATGCTGCGAACAGATGGTTCCATTTTCAGAGGCTCCTTTCCTTTGTCTGGATTTTGTATTCTCCATCGGTCAAAGGTATATGGTAATAAAAACAGCCAAGGAGGAAATTCAGTGACGGTGGTTGACATTTTTTCCATAATCTTTTTGTTCCTTATTAAATGTTTTCATGCCCTTTAAGGATTCTGCAGGACAACAGGTAGGCTCCCTATCTCTCCAGCACAGTGTCACAAAGACTCTCGATAGAACATGGTGGTCTTTCCTCCCTCCAGGAGAGCCAGATATACATCTGCTCCCCTCTGAGGACTCTGAGAGAAGCAAGGGAGTATAGGCCGGGGGAGGGGGGGGCGGGGGGGGGCTGGCGTTGCTCCAGACCTGAGCAGTTGGGGCAGCAGGATGTGCTATCCCTGATGAGGCCAGTTAAGGGCAAGTGAGCCTTTTCTCACTCCCCAGAGATCTGAAATAAAGACTGGTGGAACGCTCCCAGACAGAGGTCACTTGATTAACCCTGTGCACGTTAGCCTGATAACAGGGTCAAGTACTTCTCACTGTGAGGAATTTTCAATTTATTTCACAGACAAGATAGCTTGATCTGAGCCAGTGTGGCTGCCCCCCTGGGGAAGCTAAGGGAGAAGAGCCAAGAGCCCTTTGCTGGGGCCTCACCCTTGCAGTTTCCCGGGCCCGTCTAGCCAGGGTCCCACTTCTTCCCCTGCTGGGGGTTCTGTGTGGTACGCTTACAAGAAAGGGGCCAGAGCACCAAGAGAGGGATAAGGTCAGCCCTTCCCAAGTTCCATCTGGGATTTGGAGTGCAGACCTCGGGGAGGGCGGGGGCCGGGGCACGTGGTGGGGAGCATTTCCTTCTGTTGTTTGCTTCTGCTCTGCATTCCTTTAAAATTTCTGTGTAATTTATTACAAAGAGAGTCAGCTGCTTTTGTCTGCCTGGTGTTACTTCTCTCTCCCCATTTTCTTTGAGGAACCATGTCCTTCTCCATTCTCTGTCCACTTGATGCTGTAGAGGCTTCCTGAGCCCCTGATCCAGGCGGCATGTAAAACACCTGACTTGTTGGGACCAGCACACCGTCCCTCTGACTACAAGGATGAGGGAAGAGATGTCCACTTCGCCCAGGTCGGGCCAGTGAGAACTGTCCACCTGGAGCTCTCGCGGTGCTCTCGGGAGACAGTCCCTGCTTTTCCAATGGGGCTGACGGGCTGACTAAACAGAAGCCCGGGCCTCTGGTGGCCATCCTCGCCTTCCTGCCCGCTGGCTTCATTCTCAGGCAGATTTCCCCATGGGGTAACAAAGAAAAGAGACGGAGAAAGAGGGAGAGAGGGGGGTGTTTGGTGGCATTTTTGAGTGGCTCTGAATTCACTGAATGAATCCATGCTTGAACTGTATCCTTGGATCTCCCCATTAAATAAGCTCGTAGATTCACTGTTTTTGCTTAAACTGAGTTTAAAAGTTTGAGTTGGCTCTCTCTCAGTTGCATCAGAAATTAAAAGAAAAAAAAAGGTACAAAAACTCAAGACAAAACAATGCATTTCTCACTCATTTCCTGGTGCAACAGCCTTGGGTACTTTCAGGCCCACGGAAGCAAAGTGGCATCCAATCCACGTCTGCAGCAGGGCGGAGTGGGGGCCACAGGCTTGAGTTCCTCGAAGAAACACAACTAGCATCTCATTGTCTTGAAGAGCTATGTCACCTCAAGCAAGTCACTCCTTCGTGTTGGGGCATCAATTCCCTCACTTTAAAAGGACTGAGTCAGCGAGAAGGGTCAAAGAACCCTCTTTCATTGAAAACTACAGGTTTCCAGTGGCAGCCCGTTTCACAATATCTTGACACGAGGCTCAGTTTTATATGTTGATTTCATTACTGCACGTTTTAAATCAGGGTAAGAATATTCGCCACGACAAAGACACGCATTTCTTATGTGCCTAGTTTGGCATTTGTTTGGTTAGAGTCCTAGATAAGGTGGATGCACTTGCAATTTCTTTAAACAGACGTACAATGCTAGCCTGGTAGCTTGTTTTCCTTCATGCTGCAAATCCACATGAAAACTCAGATGGGGCTCCCTCACTCCTGTGTAGTCAACTCATGCACATCCCTTCTGTTTCTTACTGTTCTCGTTCTCTTCTCGATTTTGTATAATTTCATGCAGTCATCTTCTTCTTACTCCTGCCAGCCTCTTGCTTCCAATATGTGCCCTTGACTATACCAAATAGTCTCTTTCACAAGCTTAAACTTCCCTTTTGCATTTCCATATATCCTCTTCCTATCTCGAGATTGCCACAAATGTATCCAGAATCTATGTACCACTTACTGAGCATTTACTAGGAGCCAAGTACTTTGCATGTCATTTCTTGAATGTTCTCTTGCCCTATGAAATGGGTATTATAGATTGCCTCACTTTGGCTGACTTACATGACTTTCCTACTCCTAACTTACTTTATCTATAAATGATACAATGGATATTAAAGCTAAAACTAGAAATTTGGTTTTTATTTCTCCATTCCTGTGTTCTTATTTAAGATTTTATTTATTTATTTGAGAGAGAGAGAGAGAGGGCACAAGTGGGAGGAGGGGCAAAGGGAGAGAGAGAAGCAGATGCCCCACTGAATGTGGGGCCTGATGTGGGGCTCCATCCCAGGACACTGAGATCATGATCTGAGCTGAAGTCAGACCCTTAACTGAGTGAGCCACCCAGGTGCCCCACTCCTGTGTTCTTTCTAATGAAATGGCTGTTCTCCCTACAATGTGTGCCAAATGCTAAGTCACACAGCCTTCAAACCTGACAAAATGGTTCATCAGTGACAGCCGGCGGCCTCAGAGACAGTTACTCAACTCTCAGAATGTTGAGTGGGGGGTAGTTGGATGAGAGAGAATGAAGGGAAACAAGAGCTCCAGAGAAAAGAGTCAAAACAAGATACATTCTTACACAAGCAAAAGAAACTTTACAGAACATACCCCTCTTCTTCCCACATTTCTCAAGAAAACATCTAAAAAATATGATACTTTTAGAAAAAAAAAAAAATGGAAAGCATGAGAAACAGGGTTGCCCAGATGATGTGATGCCTTGGAAATTGGCTGGCTCTAAGTGTGGACTCTCTTCCATACTTGAAAAGGTTATGATCTGGAAGACTGATACGATTTCCAGAGGAAGAATGACTGCACATGCTCATACCTCAAGCCTTAGATACTCATCTACCTCCCCTGCAGGTTCTCAGCAGTGCTGGGATAAGAAGCCTTCCATTTCGTTCTCCCACAAAGTTGCAGGTGCAGATAATAATGTGTGGAAAATAATGGGAAGCTGAGTACCAGGGCCGGGTGGAGTCAGATGCAAATCCAATGGACGACCTGCTGTGGGCTCTTCAATCGCAGTTCACTAGGAGATGGAGTTCAACAGGGCTTTCCAGGACAGCTTTGTTCTTCATTACTTGCACATGGAGAAAATTACAGAGGTGAGCCTTCTGCCAAGTGAGAAAGTGCAGTTGAAAGGAACGTGTGTACTAGGAGGTGGGCCATGCTGTAATTCGGGGTTGTTGTTAATAAGGCTGTCATAGGAGGTTCTCAAGCCATCTTCAAAGACGAGAGATCATGTGACTAGATTACAGACTCATTCTAAGCAAAGTGAAAAACTCCACGTACTGGAGGGGAAAAAGCCAATATTTATTCAGAGTCTGAGAAGAATCCTATTTTTAATCTTTCTGCCAGAAAGCACTGAGAAACCAAAATCATGCAGTTTCTGATGGGGTAACCAGACCAAGACTGATGATTTTAACTGAACGATGAAGAAGAAAAAGGGAAAGGGGAAGGAAAATGGGAGGAAGAGGAAGAGAAAGTAGAACAATATAATAATCATTCTCACTACACAAGATTAAAGACTCCTTTGAAGTTAAAAGGAGGAGAGGGGGATAACAGAGATGGAAGGGGGCAGGACACACACACACACACACACACACAGAATCTATTACTCCAGAAGGTGGTAGACATGAAGAAAAGATGGACCCCACACAGCCAGCAAAGGTGGTCTGGAGCCAGTATTACTTCATTTATTAGAAACACAAATCAGGTCATCTTAGCATGGTGGTGATACAGAGGATTTATGATATGTATAAAAGTCATACCTTTTAAAAACAGTATCATGCATCGCATATCATTTGATTCTAATGACATTCTTGTGATGAAAGTCAGAAAAGGAATAAATGGGTTCAACTTCCATGTATTATTCAGCCACATGCTTTTTCCCCACTTACTATCTTGGACAGTTTGCCCATGGATTGATCTAATTCACCGTAAGCCCTCTGTTCTACAGCGTGGAGGTACATTCTGAGGAGGTCAGCTACCACCTGCAATGCCCACGCTTGCGCGTGTTTGGCGGTGAAGCTGTAGTTAGGATCCGCAGATTATGGGTGAGAAACAGAAGACCACAAACAGCCAGCGCCCTCACCCTCAAGCTGGGATCCCTCAGAGCTGCCGTGCTGGGGGGTCTGGTACCAGCGGGGGTGTGGCTCAGACTTCTGTGGAAGCTGAGTATCACCTGGGGGACTCACCTGCTCTAGGTCCTCAGCCGACCGTTTGTTTTCTCCAGTCGGATCCTGATAGGGCAAGACAAAGAGCTCAGCGGCGGTGGGTAAGCCAGGGAGCACCGCCACCAGGATGTGCTGGCCTGGGACCCCGGTGGCCTGAGGGAGAGACAGAAGCTCACGTAAGTTCTACAGGAGAAGGTGGTAAGGATGCATGGAGTACTCGCAGGCAGTAGGGCGGCAGGAAGACACGGTGGGTGGGGTGGGCAAGCAGGCAGGCAGGACATGAGCCTCATGGAAAGGGACATGACACAGGGTAAGGCAGCTGGAGCCTGCGTCCATGGCACTTCCAGGGGCTAAGACAGTGATTTCTCCCTGCAGGAGGTGGGTGCAGCATCTCTCTTTCTGCGGGACAGATGGCAGATGCAAGAAGGTTCAACAGTGGCTTAAGGCCATCTAGGTAGTGCATGGGGACGCTGAGCTTGGAACTTGGGTCTGACCATGAAGCCCTTCTTCAGCCTCCCTTCGCCTGATACTTAGCACTCAGTAGCCTGGGTCACAGCTAACGTACTGTTTTATGGCCCTCCCAGATTTTAAACTCAGAGATTATATCTGAATCATCCTCATTGTGTATGAAAATGTTGATTGAATGATATCTGATTAAAGATTTCATTGTGAAATTTAATAGAAAAACCCCATTTGATGAGGTAAAGGTAACTGCTTTTATATCCCATTCTGTTACACAGTAAAAAGGAAGAAAACTGCAAATATATTGACCTCAAGTTGTACCTCTTGTAGGGTTTATTTGAGTCCGCTTGACAGTAGGTACCTCAGGGCTTAAGGAAGTAGTCAAGTGTAACTACTCATCTCAAAGACAGGGTGGGAAACTGTAAGGGATCAACCCCTCCACGCTATCACACCCTGTCCTGAGAGACGTGGAGCCAAACGGTTTATTCTGCGTTTAGCTGATTATGCTATGCGGCAGCCTGGAAATATTGATAAGCAGTAATTTCTAGCCTTCTGGACAGCTGGTGGAAAGGTAGAGGCCCAGGGGATGTGATCCCTAGACTATCAATGTGAAGAGAATGATGCCTGGCAGATTGGTCACTGCAGGGCTAATGCTTGGTTGATAAATCACCTGGGGGAATCGGGCAGCTACCTGGGAGGTCTATAGGGTCATAGATCCCTAGAACACTACAGGTGGAAGGGAGGGGGATGTGGACTCATTGAGGGGTGTAAGTCCTCACTCTTGGACAGCAGAGGAGAGAAACCCACAGTCACACCAGGGACAAACAGCTCCAAAGGCAGAAGGATCTATTCCAGCGAGGCCTGGGGGCTAGTTGATGCGCCCCCTGGTGGCCCTAATGTTTAGCCACACGGCAGTCGTGGACGCTGAGTCATGAAGACAAAGGTAAGGCGGCATTTATGCAGCAGAGGTGCATGAAGACAGCATTCTCCACCCCACTGTTCCATGTATCCCTGTTTTTCCACGGGAGAAAGCAAAGGATGGCCATAGAATGGAGAGGTTAGGAAACCACAAGGGCAGTCTGACTCCAGAGCTTCACTTTTAACAGTGTGGCCGTGGCCAGAGCGCCTTAAGTCTCTATGTTCAGTTTCCTCATCTGTAAAATGGGAATGATTATAGTAGCTACATAATACGCTACTTCTTTTGTGATTAAATGTGCTAAAAAATGCAAAGCACTGAGAAGAGTATGGGAGTACTGTAAGTGCTAAATCAATATCAACACAGATAATGGCCTGAGTATGGGGAAGGCCAGCCCTTTGCCAACAGGCTGGATGTGAGATCTGTTTTCTGAGCAGGCGGTACCTGAATGCCTTTATCCCATCAGCACTTTGTGTCACAAGGCATCATGTGCTGGGTCCCGGAGACAATGTATAAAACACCCTACACGGATTTTCCTGTTAGGCTAAGAAGATGCCCTGGGGAGAGGGAGCTCATCTCTGATTTTCTGGGTTTGTACAATAAATCCGAGCAGCTCCACGAGCAGATATTCCATTCCTCTGTTCACTCATGAAATTGTATGTTTGCAGGGGGTGATGTGTCTAAAAGAAAGTGTTTTCTCAAACTGTCAGTGATACTTACTCAGACAGGGATAAACCTCACCACCTTGCTGTTCTCCCAGAAACCACAGGGGGCCGTGTTTCACACGTACAAACCCAGACCCTGGACTCAGACCTTTTGCTTCAATTCACTACCTTCATCACTCACCAGCTGTGAGACCTAAGCAAGTTATTTAACCTCTCTGAACCTCAGTTGCTTTGCCTGCAATGATCCCTTCCTCTTGGGGCTGTGAGCAGCAGAGACATGCCTTTGAAAGAACAGGGACAGAGAGAGAGGACTGATCATCACGTGCTGAGTGCTCACGCCTGCGAGGCTGGAGCCCAGGGCTGCTCTCGTGAACTGCATTCTCGCCGTGCCCCTTCAGTATTGGGCACGGTGGCTGATTTTGCACTTGCTAGTGACCTGAGCACGAGCCCTGCCGTATGAAGAGGACGGTCACAAATTTCCATGTGTTTCTCCTCTGAGTGGAAGAAGAGTTTCGTGAGGCTCAAGGACCGTGTGTTTGCTCCCAGTTTCATCACCCCACCCAGAGCACCTACGCTGTGCCTGCCCATGTGGGGATCAGCAGTGCAGACAGCAGGTGGCCAGAAGACCTCCCATGGGCTCCAGCTATTTCCTGGCCACTCTTGGCCCAAGGGTCCCTCCCCGTGCAGCTCCTGGAGGACAGAGAGAGAATGTGCTCCGGCGAGAGAAGGAACTGTCTGCACTCACTTCCACCAGGGATTTTTTGATGACTCGGCTGATGTCCCTCCTCCACTCAGGGATATCAGGGTTGTAGTCATCCAGGTTCGGAGAGAAGGACAGGCGAAGGGATCGGAATTCCTCTGGGGATACAACAGTAGGGTGATTACGCAAAGTCAAATAGGTTCCTCGAAAGTGTGTTATATATTGCATGCAAAGCCCTGACAAAGGGCCCTTTTCCTCCCCACTCGCCAAAGACAGCCTTCTAGAAGACAAATCTGCTATTCCATCTGAAACCTACGTCTCTCCCAGCCCTCATTTTCTAAACCAGAGCCGTAGGTCTGGCCCATGCCTCGCTCTGCAGCCTCTGCCCACTGGTCCCGGTTCTATACTGAGCCCTCGAGGACACTAGAGCCCCGGAGTGCCCTGGATGCACCGCAGGCTTCTGACCCTGGGCCTCTGCACACACTGTCCCTCCCACAGAATGCGCATCCTTTCTCTCTGCCACGCACACAGCGTTCAAGCTCTAGTTCGAGCACTCAGCGACGGCATACTCTCCCCCGCCATGGTTCAACGCTCTCTCTCCATGGCACTACTGTGTCTTGCACACATTCCCATTATCATTATATGATTTTATAATTGTTATATGATTACATGATTATAATTATTACCAGAGTCATTCTGTTGCTATGTTTTGCTTGTATGGAAGTTTTACTTCATGGAATTTTAAACTCCTTAACTCAAAGAATTTGTTAATTGTCTTTGAAGCCTCTGAGTTCATCTTGGTCCTCCCGAAAGTAGGATGGGATTGCAAAAGCAAGGGTGTTAGGAGGAGAAGATGGGGAGGCTGAGGAGCGAGGGAGCACTGCAGCACTGAGATGCATACGTGACACCTGTGGAAGGGAGGGAGGCTTGGTGACCGCCCTGAAACGTGGGGAAGGTCCGGCAGGACTGTCAGGGAGTCCTTGACCCACGGCAGTGATGGAGGAGTCCCCTGTGTGCCAGGGATGAGTCTGCCTTCATATGCCTGTCACATTCGGTCAGTGGCTGTGGTCAGCACCTGAGAGGCGTGGCCTTGGCCCAAGACAGTGATGGGTTTCAGAGCCCAGCCCTGGGGAACTCAGCCCCGGACAAGTCGGGTCATGTCACCACCCTAACACCTGCTAGTGGCTTTTAGAAAAAAAAAAAAAAAAAAAAAATCAGCTTCTTCACTATGGCCTTCATCATCCCATAGAACCCGGGGCCGAATTTCCCTTCTGCCTACTCCACGCTCCTCTGTGCTCCAGGACCCCTCCGGGCTGCCATGCTCCTTCCCTCATGAGCACATTCCACTCTCCAGATATGGCACAGTCGGCTCCTTCTCATCACCCATCAGTCTCTCCCAGGAGAAACTCGGCCACTAGCAAACTGAGTTACCCTCCTTTCTGCTACCTCAGATACCCTTCATCATATGACCCTATTTGTCATCTTCGCACTCCTTGCCACTTAAATTCTTTTGTTTTTACTGTCTGTCTCCCACACTGAGACATAAGGTCAATGAGGACAGGAAGGCTGTGTTCCTGGCCCCGTGAGATGGTACCCAGCAAATGGTAGGTTTTCAATTATTAGCTAGTCATTTAATAAATTTGTTAAATAAATAAATACATAACACTGGAGGCTCTCTGTAATTTATGCATTTACTTATTCAACAAACATTTCTTTCTTGTTTAAAGCATGTCTTCATGTTTCAGTAGGGGCTCAGTGATATCCGTAATGCTGATTATACATTCAGGAGACATAAAAGCCCACTTGCACATTTCCTAACAATGCTAAAGACTTATCAGATGCAGGGTTTGAAGACTCTTAAATTACAGGGGGTGTATTATGGCAGTCAGCCTATTTCAAAGATGTATTTTTCACAGCTTGACTATTTTATGAGACACTGGTCACCTATGTGAACATCACTTCAGTTCTGATGTAGAATAATGAAATTCACCTTAATTAGTAACATGGTAAATGGGAGTACCCAAGGAATCAGCCACTGAGTCCTAACTTTTCACTTTAAAGATATAAATTGATGTCATTTTCACTTTCCCTGAACCTCTTACCCAACTGTAGAAACTTCATCTACAAGGGAAGCTGTTTATCTTAATAAAAAGACACAAATAGAAAAATAATGTGGCTCTCTCTGTAATAACTTAGCAAGCTCAGTAGCAGGACACAGGAGTGTTATACTTAAGTTTACTCAATAAACAGGTGCATGTGGGAGCACTAAAAAAGGTAAATACCAGTAATAAACACACACACACACACACAGTTGAGCTTTGAACCATGTGTAGTTTAGGATGCCATCCCTCACCCTGGTAGTTGAAAACCCATATTTAATTTTTGACTCCCCAAAAGCTTAACTACTAATAGCATACTGTGGACCAGGAGACTTACTGATAACAGAGTCAATTAACACATATTTTGTATGTTAGTTTTCATATACAGTATTCTTACAATAAAGTAAAACTAGAGAAAAGAAAATGTTATTAACAAAATCATAAGAGAAAATACAGTTATAGTCCTGTACTGTAAATGTACAGTACAAAAAAATCCATGTATAAGCGGACCCTTGCATTTCAAACCTGTGTTACTCAAGGGCCAACTATATTTGTGTGTGTGTGTGTGTGTGTGTGTATTTGCAGCTGCTGATGCAGATGAATTCTACACATTTACATTCTCTTTTTTGTATTTAAAAGCAAACCCGTGCCCTGAAGCAAATTAAGGAAAACAATGCAAACTAGATTAACTAGATTTTCTTTCCTGCAGTTTATTTCGTGGCTTTGGGTGGACAGTTTTTCCCCTGTCAATTTCCCAAATATAATGCTTCCTGCAGTCTGACCATGAGGGCCTTACTGTTCCCCTCAGCTTAACTAAATTTTAGACAAGTTTCTTCCTGACTGCAGGTCTCTGATGTCTCTTTACTTAGAGCATTTACTTTAGAAAACCTGCAATTGTAAATTTCTTCTCTGCTCTTCTGAGATACACACCTTCTCCAACCCAGGAATGTGTCTCTCAGGAACCTGGGAGGCATCTCTTTGAAATGTAACCATCAAGAAAGATAGAAAAAGAGTACGGAGGTTCCTCAAAAAATTAAAAATAGAACTACCATATCATCTAGGAACTCCCCTTCTGCGTATTTACTAGAAAGAAACAAAAATACTAACTTGAAGAGGTATCTGCCTCCCCACGTTCACTGCTGCATTATTCACAATAGCCAAGATATGGAAATGACCTAATTGTCCATAGACAGATGAATGGATAAAGAAAGTGTGGTATAGACATACAATGGAATATTATTTAGCCATAAAAGAGAGAAATCCTGCCATTGGTGACAGCATGGAAGCACGCTGAGGGACTTGTGCTAAGTGGAGTATGTCAGACAGAGAAAGGCAAATACTGTATGATCTCACTTATATGTGGAATCCAAAAACAAAATAAAAAGCAAAACCTCAGATACGGAGGATTGGTGGTTGCTAGAGGCAGGGGTTGGAAGGTGGGCAAAATGGGTGAAAGGGTCAAAAGGTACAGACTTCTAGATATAAAATAAAGTAAGTCACAGCATGGTGACTATAATTATTAATACGGTACTGGAAGTTTGAAAATTCTTAAGAGAGTAGATCTTAAAAGTTCTCATCACAAGGGAAAAAAGAATGGTAACTACATACAGAGCTGGAGGGTCACTAGATTTGTGGTGATCATTTCACAATATATGCAAACACTGAATCATTATGTTGTACATCTGAGACTAATATAATGTTGTAGGTCGACTGTATCTCAATAAAAGAATAAGATCGATATACTATTACCATGTATACTATGAGAGCAAGGAAAGAAAAGGAAAGAAAAGGAGGAAGGAAGAAAGGCCCTCTGTCTCCTGGAGGGTAGGAGCCTAATTTCCAGAAGCACAATTAACAAACACGGATGGTCTAATCACATTGATAATCCCCTCACCCCCAAATTCCTCCAGTACTTTTCCATTAGGTCATCCCAGGGTTTAAAAATATTCAACTTTTGTTTCAGTGGAGTTCAATCTTGCCCGTTGAACTCCGTGTGATATAATTTGTCTTTAATAGGTCACACGTGTCATTAAAATGTTCTAGTGATATATATGAAACTGACACTTCATCTAACTGAAGACAAATTAAGGATGTTTGCTCAGAAATTTGGTTAGGGGAGGGAAGACCACTTCCTTGCTCAAGCTTTGGATGAAGAGACCGTTTTTAGTGAAGGTAACTCACTGGATGGAGAGTGATCCACTCTTGGATGACACTGTTCAAGACATTTTAGAAGAGGAATAGGTAAGCCTGGCGAGGGAGTGCGAGGTGGTTAGAGACACTCCTTCTGGATTCAATTCCTAGGCTCTGTTTCTTATAGTTATTTCATATTTTCTCATTTGCAAAATAGGAGTAAAAATAGCATATTTCTCATAAGTCTGCTCAGAGGATTCAAGGAAATATATTTATCGAGTGCTTAGAAGAGATCCTAGTAAGGGCTTTGTCAATGTTAATTTCTATCACTACCATCGCTGTTATTATTATTACTGGAGCTGTCACTGAAGAGCAGGATGACTTGAAACCAGAGATTTCCCACTTCTGAGCTACAATTTCCTCTTTGGGAGATGATGGGATGGGCCACATAAGCCCAAAGACCTTCTAGGTTTAACATTCTCTCCATGGTTTTGATGAGGCTGCTGATTGGCTTAACCAAGAGGACACGTGTGGGGAGTCATGGGTCGTGATGCCCATGACAGCCAGGAAGGAGAGAGAGGAGAGAGAGGAGAGGGAGAGCCTCACATGGAACAGCCATGAGAACTGGTTAGTGGGGTCATTACAGAGCATGGGCCCTGGGTCTAGATGGGCTGGGTTAGAAGCCCAGCTCCGCCACATATAAGCTGGGGCAAGTTACCTGCCCTGCTGAAGGAACAAGAGTAATAACATCACCTACCCTTTGCTAGGGTTGTTGTGAGGATTCAGTGCATTCCCAGAGTACAGAAAGGAGATGCAGAAGAAAAAGAAGCAGAAGCTCTCCTCCATTTTGTCCACCTGGCTGAGAGGTCTCCTCATTGACGGGACCTTGTTAGGAAAACCACAGCCCTGGTTTGCTTTCAGTTACTGTTTGGACTTCTCAAGCCTCTTGCAGGCGGTTGGGGGTGGGGGGCAGTGGGCAGGGGAGGGGAGGAGGGAAGAAACATTATGAATCTAATACGATTCATAGGGCATTCGAAGAATAGTGTCCTCAGACTTGTTCAAAGTTCCTTACAAATTACTTTTTGAATTTGAAGGTCCAGTTGGCAAGATGAGCAATGAAAAGCAGAATCTGCATCAGAACCAAATAATTCTGGGACTGGGGCAATTGATATTATTTGGACCACTAGCTAGTTTCTCTCTGTCTCTCTCTGTCTCTATCCCTTCCTCCCTCCATCCCTCCCTTTTGCTCTGTCTCTGCACATCATTTACCTTTCCTAACTTCTTTTTAATTCTTGTTGTTTTAAATTTTAACTTTCCATGATGCATATGTACCATTTTGATATGAGCAATAAATACACTTCACGTTTTTATCATCCACTAATAACACTCAGTGCATACCTATCTTTCTCTGCAGACAAAAATTACCAAAATGAGATCAATTTGTATAAACTGTTTTTAATTCCGCATTTTCAGTCAATGATCCTACCTTTCCACTTCAGTAAACTTTCACTCCATGCAATACTGACTATATTCAACTTCCCAACCAATTAGAAGATTGTTCTGTACAGCTGTTTGTTTAAACTAATATCCAATCTAGGATGATACGAGACATCTGCTTGTGTGGCCCTTCATTGCTTTTCATCCAGCAGAGTCGGTTTTTGTTTTTGTTTTTTTTTTTGATGATACATATTTGAGGGAGAGATTTTCAGAATATATAGATATTGGTATATTGTTCTTAATAATCAAGAATCTTAAAGTTGAATTTTAAAAAAGCCTCAATATTAACTATTTTCTTTTATAATGGGTTTTTGTTATTCAAACACTGCCAAAATACCAAATGGAATGAATCAGCTTTACGTGTAATGAAGCTCATTCTATCCCACTTCAGGTGAGTGAGAGTAGAAGAGCCATTTCAGAACACAAACCAATAAAGGCTCTGGGGGTCTTGGGGCCATAACTGTGCTGGTGAAACCACATTTCCCCCAAGGGAGGAGACCAGACCTGACTCAGCTCTTTCTCCACCACCAGCCTCTGTTCTCTGGGTGGAGGCCTGGTGGTCTCTGGTAGCCTACAAGCACCCTACCACCCTAAGCGTGGGGCCAGCCAGGGGCCCATGCACACAGGCACTCACCATACACCGCGATGGTCTTCGTGTCTTGCAGGATGGCGTTCCCAGCTGAGACCTGCACTGTGATGGTGTTCATCCCTTCCGAAGTAAACTTGAATGATATGCTTCCCTCCAAGGTGATCAGAGGCTGAAACAGGGGAGGGCACAGAGTGAGGGGACAGCTGGCCAGACACCGATGAGACAGCCGTGAGCTCCGAGCCACCAACCAGCCACTTAAATCAGCACAGGCTCTTCCCGGGGTGCCCCATGCAACTGGCTCCATCTGCTTGCCCATCATCTCCAGTCCGGACCAGAAAAGCGTTATTAGAGCCATGACCCCAAGCGACTCTGCCCATTCCCTGTGACTAGGACACCTCTCTTCTGGTGTTATCCTGATTCAGGGCTGGGGAGATGGATAGGTCTTGCTTGCTGGCGGGACAGATCTCTCTACCTGCAACCTACTCGTAACAGGCAGGTCTCTTAATACAAAGAAATACTCAGATTGGACCCACACAGGCAGCTCATGTTAATCCGGATGTAGGCAGCAGTCACTGAAAATCTCTAAGCTTCCAGTTGGTCATCACCAGGGGTACGATTCATAGAATATTCCGATGGAATACAGCAACCATGGACACCAAAACTGTCCTCGTTAGACTGGAGTGGCCTTGTTTGGCTTGGTTCCTCTAAGAAGCCCTATCAGCTGTTTCTGGAAGTAGCTGCTATGGAAACAAGTACTAATTGGACAGTGGTTTGAGGACTGAAAAAAAAATACAATTTGGAGTCGTGCCTGTGATAGAATCGGACGCCGGGGTCCTGGAGGAAAAGATGATTAGCCTAATGACCTCCCTCAACTCATTCCGCACAAACATTTCTTTCCTGTCTTTTCTTAATTAATTAAAAAATCTAAATTCATGTAACCAACTCCCTGTATAGCAGAGGGAAGACCAACGCCCAGCATAAGAAGCCTACTCGATGTAATCTGTTGAGAATTTGGTTTGCTGCTGTCAGGTTAAAAAACGTTAAAAAAAAAAAAAAGGAGACATAGAAAAAAGTTTAGTACATTCATCTTCTAGCACGAGCTTTTAGGCAAATAACTTAGATTTCTCCTCCACCACTGTGGGTAGTGGGCCCAATTTAGGCCACATTTACCTGCAGAGTTTCAGAAGAAATTAAAAAAAGCTTCTTTTCAGAGGAGTTAAATTAGCAGTAGAGGTGAGCATTTCCTTCCCTTGCCAGGCATGTAGCAGGTCTGGGGTCAGGGGAGGTTTCCTCCCTGGGCCTGTTCAAAAATCATGACTCCAGTTAAAGCCAATGTTCAGCTCTGGGGTAGAAAAAGATTGGCGTCAGAATAAGATACACTCTATTTGAAGAGCAAAATCACCAAGTGCAAGAGAGCGGTTCTGCTGGAGGAAGACGAAGCTTTCTCATCCTGAGCAGCTCATGCCAGTGCCCTTTGGGGAGGCCTTCACCCGGACTGCCTTAACTGACATTTGGAAGCAAACTGTAATCTCTGAGAATGGAGGAAGTTCAAAACGGACCTGGCAGCCTGGCATCAGGGGAAGGAAAATACATGTGGGCATGGGAAGGCCTTGGATCCGGCCTCCACGTGAAGCAGCTGAACGAGGCGGGAGGAAAGCCCTTCACGTGTGTCCTCCTGACTTTATCATCTGTAAAATGAAGGCCTTAGAGTAAATGAGGTTTAAGGTCTCTGCCACTTTTAAAGTTGCTGCTGACTTTTGATCTCAGGGCATGTTTTGGGAAAAGAGAAAGGGTAAAGCTGAGAGAAAGGAGCGACCACGTCCGATTCAGGGGGCCTGGGGGCCCGGCTGTAATAAGTATTTGTTGCTTTTGACTGTCTGGTATCTACTGTTTTTTTGGGGGGGGCATTTTCCCCCTTCTCTTGGTCCATGTGGTTCCAAGAAGGCTGACTTCAACACCTCTCTTTCTACCCCGAGCACTGGGAAGGCTTGGTCAATGATACTCCATCCTGGGACTTCTGTTCATTTTCTCTGCTTAGCTGTGAGAATATAAAGCTCGGGCTGCTGCTAAGGTCTCTGCAAAGGGAAGGGCAGTTGGAGAAGAAGGTAACATGGAGGAAGGCACAGGTGAGGGGCAGGGGTGGAGTGTGAGAGAGAGACAGAGGGACAGAGGGAACACACTGATGAGATTACTGGAGCACTATGAGCCTGCTGTGCCCGAAGCCAGGACTACCCCTGGACTCTTGAGTTACATAAGCCCTTTCCTTCCCTTTCTCCCTTCAGCCAGTTTGAGCGGAGCTGCAGCTAGATGCTGCATGGAAGGCTGACCCACCTCCGTGATGTTTCCGTACCACCACACGTAAGTAAGGGTGCCCACTTGGCTGGGCCACAGCACTGCTGTTGCGTTGACCTCTTTGTTCTTTGTGGTGACAAAGGGAAGAGACAGGTGTACATGCTCCAGGGGACCTGAGGCACAAGAGAAAAGACGAGGCATAGAGAAGGAAGAGCTTTCTCTGCTTCACCTTCCCTGCTCTGAAGAGAATACATATTTGTTCTGGAAGCCTCCAAAACATCACAGTCATACTGCCTGAGGAAAGTGCTAAGGGGCTTTCCCTACTTTGGAGAAAAGCTATCTTGTGACCCACTGTGTCTCAATATTTTCCATTTACTGATCTTTCTGCCAGACCTAAAACCTGAGTTATTTATGTGTAAAACTTTAAAAACTTACAAGTAATTTATGAATTCCTTAAATGAAGAGGCATAATATGAGGATTCACAGGAAGATGCAAAGTCTTTCTAAGAGATTGTATCCGTGGTGGTAAACCAGGATGATGAAAACCTCACGGACTCCATGTGTGTGGCCGTGGGGGCAGGGGGTGGTGGTTACGGCACAAATCCTCAAACCATTCTAGATGTCATTATCCTTGACTCTTTGTTGGGGTTTCCAAGATCTGTATATGTGTAAATCTGTGTGTTTGTGTGTGAGAGTGTGTGTATCTCTCTGCAGGAGTATATGTAACACCACCTGGTTCAAACTGTTTGGTGTTGAGTTCAGTTTGTTCAGGGTCAAGTATGCATGAGCAGGTAGAGACAGCTTTGTGGTTCTCTGGATGTGCTCAACTAAAAAAGGGGATGATTCTACCTATGGAGATCCATTAGAGAGAAGCCTTGATCAGATGCACAAACCCACAAAGCTATGAGTTCTCTCTTCAGAGAGAACAAGTAGGAACCTTCCTCTGACCCTTGGTCTTCCCTTTGAGTCACTTCTCCTAGGCAAAAATGCAGTTTCCTCTGAAGTGAACGTGGCAAAAATCTGTCATCCCACCATTATTCCATGAGGTGGAGAAGAAAGTGGTACCTTTCCACCTAGTTTAATCACCACCTCTTCTTCTAGATCTTTAAATGTGTTTCCTACAGTACTGACTTTGGCCTTTTTCCCCCTCCATATTCTGTTCTGCGGAGTAATCTCATCCACACCCTGACCTTCAACAATAAACTACATGCTCATAACTCAAAAACCACCTACTTGACTCGGGACTCAATTAGGAGCCAGATGTTCCTAAGAAATTCATTATTCCCCCCTGCCCATTTTCTATTCTCCATGTCTTGATGAATGGAAACCAATGTTTATCCAGGGGACCAGCCCAGAAGCATAAAGTCAGTCTGGATTCCTTATTCCTTGCCACCCATTCTATGCTGGAAACCACTGGCTTGGTTTCGTAACTATCTCTGAGTGAGAGCTCCTCTCACCGTCCCCAATCCTTCCCTAGCTCATACAGCTGGACTGTCATGAGCCGTACCAATTTTCCTGCCTCCGACCTGCCCCCAAGCTAATCCACCCTCCTGCTCTATGTGTTCAGTGTGTGCCTTCCTCAGTAATAATTAGTTGCACCAAGTGCCAGGGTCCTCAGCCCCCAGAATAAAACATATAGTCCAAGGTCAGGGTAGAGCAAGTGCAAAGATCTTGAGGGCGAGGTGGTTCTCCATGTTTGCAGAATAGAAAGAAAGCCCAAGCGGCTGCATAGAGAGATGGAGGGAAACAGTGGGAGCCAATGAGATCTAAGAGGGATTCAGGACACATAGCATATTGTTTTGTAGGCTCTGAAGTATGCATATGTGTGTTTATATGAGTTCATTCTTACATGTATGCACATTATACATTCATACCACATATGGCAATGACTCTGTATCTTCTCACACTACAAACTGTTGTGAGAGTGATTTTTTAGAAAGCCAGGTTGATCATACTACTTGTTCGAAATTAAAATTCCCACTACCTAATGATGATGATGATAGTTAACACAAATTGATCTAAAATTTGTGAGACAGAGAACACAGGCTGCAAACTTTCGGAGGGTAAGAGTGTTTCACATCTATCTTTGTATCTAAAGACTAGCATAGTTCCTGAGATGTAGCAGATAATCGAATGTTTGTTGGGTAGGTGAATAGATGGTGCAATTTCTTGTTGCTGCTTTTGTCTATGCTTCTCTCTCTTTAGAGAACTAGAGGCTTGGTGACCAGCATATAGAATAGAATTGATTTTCTGGCTTATAAGCCATATGATAAGAAGTAGTTGTTCATAAGTCAGAACGGTTCAATGTGCTAAAAAAGGGCAGCATCTACTGAATGATGACCATGTGCCACATATTCTGCTAATGACTCTCTTCATTCTCATTTGCTCCTCACAACAACCTCACGATGTAGGCACGACTATCATTTCCATCTAGAGATGAACAAACAGAGGACAATGACTCTCCCAAGGTCACGCAGCTAGGAAACATCAATTCCAGGGTGTGGGCCGAAGCAGTTTGATTTTAAAGCCCATGCTCTGGCCAGCTGACAAAGGCTCAAAAAGATCTCTCCCGTATTGCACTTTACACGTGCTCTCATTTCTTACATGGCTCTCCTGTTTCCTATCACTCAGTTTGCTCCAGCAGGTTCTGCCTTGTTCTGCCCTGAGGCCGCGGCATAGACTCCTCTCTCAGGGCACCTGTCAGCCTTTGAATCTCAGGCCCAGTGACCAGGCTTCTGGAATATTCTTTCTGACTCCCCTGATTGGAGGAGAGTGACTCAGCTAGAATACAAGGACTACATAAACTCTCTTAAGCATGCTGGTTCCATCCTAAAGGGGTTCATTTTCTGTGTCTCTCTCACATATGAGTACTGAATATTTTTTTAAAGTCTGACCTTCAAAGTAAGGATGGTGTCTGTGTGTCCTGTTAATGGCAAAAATGGAATCTTCTTCGGGAAATGTGGTCATTAATTCATTCAACAGTTTCAGAGGGCTGCCACATGTCAGGCATTATTCTAGGTGCTGGAGACACCTGCTACTTGGTGGAGCTCATGTCTTATTGGGGGAGGCGGGCACTGAACACATACAGCGGGGGTAGGTGATAGAGTGCTGGTTTTGTCTCTCAGGAGAAATGCCATGTGAGCAGTGACCTGAATGAAGTGAAGGAGTGCACCACATACTCTTCGTGATGCTCCAGGGTGAGGGCAGGGCAAGTGCAAAGACCTTGAGGAGGAGGTTTGCTTGCCATGTTTGAGGAACAGCAAGAAAGCCCAGGTGGCTGCAGGTGAGAAATGGAGGGAAAGAGTGGGAGCCAATGAGATCTAAGAAGGATTCAGGACTCGCAGCATATCGGCTAGTCGGCCCTGAAGTATGCATAGGTGTGTTTGTAGGAGTTCATTCTTGCAGGTATGCACATTACACATTCATTCAAATGTGCGCAATTTACCTTTCATATTCCTGCCTTGTCCTCTTGTACTCATTTACTTTTCAGGTGCTTAACACACCTAGTTCCTGCTGCCGAAAAGCCTATCTTTTAAGCATCTCTTCTACGTACAGAGGGTGCAGTCTGCACTACGCGAGCTGAGCTGCGGAAGTACCACTCCAGCCCCTGGAGGCCCCCAGCTGGCTGGCTGCACTAAATCCAGAGCTGAACAAGCCAGCAGATGTGGCTCCAGCAGACAGGTGCCTGTGATGCACAAAAGGGACAGCGGGTGGCGCTGCATCACTCCATATGAATCTTCCTGGCAAGGTGGGTGAGGGAACTGGGAAATTGCCTCTGGAATTGGGTCTCCCTCTTTCCTTGCTTAGCCCTAATGTGCTACAGGAAGCAGCTGACGTTTGTGAGGCTGAACATCGTGTGTGTGTGTGTGTGCGTGTGTGCACGCGCGTGTGCGTGTGCATACACACACCTGTAACGCTTGCTCTGGACTGTCCCTGCCATTTGTTTTGGAGACAGTCTCTTTTGTTTGTCTGAAATGTGAAAAATACTCTAGAAGAAATAAAAGTTGTTCAAAGTATGAAGATGAGATCCTAAAACGGAGTTCCTTAAACTTCAGTGTGCAAAAGGATTATACTAATCTGTTCAAGGCAGATTATGATGCACACTTCTAGGAATTCCAATATAGCAGGTCTGGGATGAGGCCTAGGACACTCACTCTATTTTTATCATGTAATTCTGGGGCAGGTGACTCGTTAAACCACACTTTACAAAACCCAAGTCTGCCGTTTGTTGGCCAATATAATAATCACGTGAAAAGTTGCAAAGCTGCGTGGGTTTTCAAGAAAACAGTCACTCTAACACAGGAACAGAAAGACATCTGCAAATGGCACCTGTGTATGGAGGTAATTGGGGAGATTTGGGAAGAACTAGGAAATCTGTCTCATCGTTTTTTGCTTTTTCAAACCTCCCATTCTGCAAATTTGCATAGTTTTCAGTGACTTTTTTCTGCGAGACTGGCTGAGATGGGGCAGCCTTCTGAGCAGAAATCTGCATGTCCTCTAAATTCTGCCGCCTGCCCCACCGGCCGAAGGCAACACTGGCTGCGCCATGTGTCGCGTTTGTTTGCCAACTAGCAGAGCGCAGTAAATCCTGTCCCCAAGGACTTTCCAACTGTCAGGGTACAACAGATGACCCAGCCTCCCAGTGAGAACGGCTGGTCCACGCCTGGGAACATCAGAGCAGGCACATCATCTCCATCTGTTTCTGATGACCTTTGCAAACCCATATTAAAAAAAACAAAAACAAAAACAAAA